TCACTCCCAGGGGAACTACTTCGAGGGTGATGGATGAATTTAATACCTGAGATAAGTGTACGGGTTTTTATACGCGCAGTCTTGAAACTTTCCGATCGCACCTCGTATTAATTAATTCCCTGTTGCCACTGATGATGACCTCTTGAGGTCGAAACGCGTTTGGCACTAGTGTCATTTATAGTGTTAATAGTTTGTTTGTTTGCTTGCTTATTTTATATTCTAATACACTACACGGTATGCAAAGTTTTAAGATTAGACATTTTAAGTCAGTTTTACTATATTTTTTAAAATTCTGTGACGCAGGGATAAGGAACTTACACTCAGAAAGTGTTTAACGGCGTAGTTTCACATAGGCCTGTAGCGCACGAACGGTTGCCTGGTCTCCAAATTTCATGGTATCGTCACGCCATATCTGTAACTGTGTGCCATGTCAGACTTAACGTTGATGATGAGTATTTTACAGTACTCGCGTGTGTTACTCTCATATTCCTACCCTGACGTGCTGTTACACTCGTGTGTACAGAGAGACAGTGAGAAAATATGAGAGAAGGTAACAAAACTAACAAAACAGAAATTTTTTCTGAAAATCTGAAGGTCGACCACACGATTAATAATTATTATTTCAAACAAATAAATGTGTAAATATTTATTGTAAGCCATTTGTTACATCTCTCCCGCATCCATGAGCTACGCTAATCTGTAATTCAAAACGAATCTCTGATAATAACTTAAGTAATAATAGAATAGTATTAATAGATGACAGCCGTGAAGGATATCTGTGCCTCGAGAAAAATGCATTTCTCCAAATCGTGTTCCAGTTTGTACACAACAAAGGATTTATTTTAAATTACTTTCATAATTTTTACAAGGTTCTATAACTTACAAAGGTGTGATATTTGGATATGCCTTATATTTTGACCTGTCATTAGTGTTGATGGTCATTAGCTGCTGACAGAAAATCAACCGCGGAGACACGACTATACGTAAACAGTTGTGAAATGTTTTTACATTTTCGTTAAATATAAACCACATCGAAAAAAATATTTTTAATCACTAACTGAAATAATTGACATATAACCGAAGAACCATGATCTTTCTTGAAAAGTTAATAGTCACTCAGCTAGTCAAAATATTTCCTGCCTTTTGTATAACCCAGTGTTCATTACCTTTTTCACAACAGCCCACCACTTTGAGTTACAGCAGTAACCCAGCTCAGCTTCAGTTTACGCGAGCATTACCACAATAAACCACGAAAACTGCTTAGCCCCTTGTATCTCCAAAAATACAGATAATTTCGAAGTGTCCTTCGTATCTCTTCATTCTCTGCTCAAATTCTAATTTCATATTCCGTGCTGCCAAATAATTAGCCTCCTGATCACTGTCATTCATATTTACAATATTATATTTTTCACCTGAAAATCAACTTCGAGATTTTTGTTGTTGCATGCTAACAAAAATAATCTCTCTCTCCTTTTGGGGAGGGGGTACATTTCAATAACAAACACGCATCATCATTTCTGTTTCCCCTTTGCGTTGTATGTTCCATAAAACCAACTCCAGGAAACCAATCAACGACGAATGACATTTTCCCATACATTTACTTTGCGGGAACGTACCAAATGGTGTAATACTGAACACAAGACTTGACCTAACAAATTATTCATTATACCGGATGTTTTTTCACGTATAACTTAATGCAAAATATGACAATATCATCGGCTAGAAGCACGTGGTTTCGTAATTAGCCTAGTAGCTAAGGCGGCGATAATGTAAGTAGGTTATTGAAGATCAGAAAAAATGTAACAAACATTTATTATTAAAGGAAACGGAAGCCATTACTACAAAACACGTATGGAAAATAGTTACAAACAGACCAATCGTCTGCAGGAAAAGACTCAACATTATATGTTCCTTCGCTCCTCGCCATTTTATGTGGTATCAGGAAGGAGTAGCCACCATCTGAAGTCGACGCTCATCTGAATTAAAACATTCAGTCCTTATTACGAAGATAAATTTATTAACGCCGTTCAGGGAATAAATCACTGTTTAATCTGAGGATCATATAAAATTCATAAATTCACTCTGTGGGTAAAATGCAGAATTACTGAGTTAAAACAGGTGGTACATATAGTTACCACTAGACTTTAAACAGTTAAGTAGCACTAGAATTGAAATTGAATGAAATATACCAGCATCTGGTCTGCTCAGATTATGATAAATTATCAGGAATATACATAAATACCTTAAAGAAAAATATAAAATTATATTCTACCCCAGTGGGTAGATGTGTAACGAAATAAATACAGAGAATCTAAGCAGGTTTTATGTTTATAACTCGTCACTAGACTGCAGGGCAATTATAAAAATGGTTGAGAAATCATCAGAACATGTGGCAGAGATAAAAAATTATATTACGCACAGGAATTAGGTAACATTTAGTTTAAATTCTTTTCATGAGATGATAATGTTGCGTCATATTGTGTTGAATATATACTTGTTCAATTTTTATCAGTCTAATCACAATAAAATATTATTATTAAATATTAACATCGAACATTTCGATAGAGAGCATCATTTTAATATATTTTAAATATTTAAATGTTAATTGTAATAATATTTTAATATTTAATAATAATATTTTATTGTGATTAGACTGATAAAAATTGAACAACTTTAAATTATTTTGTTTTCCATACTCATATCTAAAAGTGAAGGGAATGTAACACATTGAGTAAAGGTATAATTTTAAACTGTTTTGTATGGACAAGACGAATGATAATCAACTGAAAAGAATGCGAAAATGTTTTGTTCTTGGTCTAATTTTATGTACTGTCTAGGCATTTGTATGAACGACTGACGAAAACCACAAAAAATAAATCAGCATAGCTCGTAAACGGACAGAGATTTTAATCCTGGACCTCACGAATACAAAACAGAAGCGACCTTCGAAAATGTGTCGCACAATTTAAAGGTGTTAAACTATCGATTCTCGGGTTGAGTTCAAAACTTTTCTAATAAGATTAGTTTTGAGTTTGCTTTAAATCGTCTGATGGGCCGATCTTGTATGTGGAACTATACACCACACACAAGTTAAAAGCCAATTATCTATAAAATGTTTATGTAAACAAACGCAATTATTTACATATATTATATTCATTCCTATTTTATATTTAATACTTTATATTTATACTTACTTCATACTATGAAAATGTTATTAGATAGTTTAAAAGTGTTCCTTAAAGATACAACATTTTCACATTCAAATAGTCGAAATGCACACACACACCATGTTACATGAATGTCATTCATTTGGTTTCATCTACTTTAAATGACAGGCGTGTTGACAAAATCTTTTTTATACGACACATAAACACAGCTTGAGTACACATTTGTTGTGTTGGTACATTATCCATCAGCTTGATTTGTAGTTTCGTGCCTCGTTTCATCTCACGATTAGATCTGATCTGATCTGATAAGACTAGAGTCAACAGTATGTATAATGCTTTACCGCTAGTAGGTAACGTACTTGTCATTGGAAATGCCACACTATCAATATCAGCTGTTATTTCTAGATTTCTAGTCTAGTCCATTATCGACTACGGCTGTAGTATGGACGTCTGCTTGTTATGAACTTTCTAAATCCAGAAATGTCCTCCCAGACTATCTCCACAGAGCAAAGCAATGACAAACTGATGATACATCGTTTTGCCAAGAAATTACCCGCATTTTATGAAACCCAAAGGTTGGTTACTGTATTCAAAACAGCGCATTACTGCGCCCTAAGCTGAGCCAGCTGAATCCAATCAACGTCCTGCTACCAAATTTTTTGAACCTGTATTTTAATATAATATCTTCGTTAAATCTCCCAAGCGACTTATTTCATTCAGGCTTTTCGACTAGAATTTCATACGCATTTGTAATTTTCCCATACGTGCTCCTCCAATACAGTCTTATTTCATTTGACAGTTATAATGTTTGATAAAGATAAATTAAGAATCTTCTCATTGTGCCTTATTCTCTGTCATTCTGTTACTTCCTTTCTCTTAGGACCAAATATTCTCCTCGGTATGTTGTTATGAAACAGCCTTGCCTTAAGTTTAAAAGTTTCACGCTCAAGTGAAACTACGGGTATAATTATGGTTTGTACATTTTTATCTTTAGGTTAATAAATGGGAAACGAGAAGACAAAATATTTTGAACTGAACTGTAGTGTGATCTCCAGAATTAAGATCTTATTTTGGGCAAAAGCACTATGCACTCGAAGATAAATTTTCGTATACGAAAGAAATATATAAAATGCTGTATGTTCTATGAACATCACAAGATTAAGAATTAATCTTGGCAGCAATTGAAACTATAAATCACGTAAAAGTAAACCCTAACTTTTGCGCTTTGTGATAATTATTTATATTATTAATATTTCATATTGGTTATGAATTTGTAAATTGCATCATATACTTAATGCTCGGTCGTAAAGAAAGTTGCAAAAGACTTTTATGACAAATTATTCAGCAAATGTTGAATGTGACAAATAAAAAAAACAAATTTTATAAAATTAAGTTTGGAGTTTAAAAGCCAGTGGAAATGTTGATTTTCATTGGCCCCTTTCTTTAAAATTGCCTACAGCTTGAGAGATACTGTGCTCTCTATATCACCGAGAAGTTTCTAGAATACTTACAACTTCTATGTATTATTAATTCTTACACTTCTACACAGAAGTTTGCATAAATTACGAATCAAAGATTTTTCTGTAAAAAGTATTTTATTTCGAAATGACTCTCTTCTGGGTTATTACACCGTACAGTCCTCCTGATAATGGAGGCATCAAGTACCTCTAAAATGTAGGTAAACATCTATCAGACTACACTGCTCCAGCAACCTAGAAAAATAATCTTCAAACCTTAAAATTCACCGTGTATTTTTTTGTCATAAGATAGTTTAGAATGCTATGTGATTAAAATTATTCTCCCTTGTCATACTGTGGCACATATGCTGAACGTTTTCTATCCCTGGACTATCATTTCTTATCAGAGTCCTCTAAATCGAACCTTCCAGAACATGGTTCAAAAGACAAAAGAACTTAAGCCGTTTTTACATATACGGGGCATGATGAAATCCACAGAGACTTTTACAGCGCTCCAGGGAGACAAATTGTCACGCTACATCTATGGCCCTCTGACGGGCTGTAAAATGTATTTCATTATGACATAAATACTTGATGACTTTCAAGTTGATAACGTGTCTAATGAATTACAATTACACGTCAATCAACTTTGACTACGTTAAATGAAATGCAAAGTTAGACGTTTCTTGTACTGTTCTCTTCTGTACTTTGAGGACGATTGCTATGATGACAAACCATCGATTATAGATTTTATATGACTTTCATTTGAGAATAATTGTCACTACTGAGTTCAAAATACACAATCCGCGGCTCTGATAACACTGATCTGGCCAGTATTTCTTTGTGGAAGCAAATATATAACAAGATACGAGCTAATGAACCAATTCACTAACCAGTTTCGTGAAACAGGGTCCTCCTTGAGAATCTGACAACTCAGTTCGTCAAGAAATTTCCTACGTTTTGTGGAAACAGACGATTGACCACTGTGTTCACAAGAACTAGTCACTGCATCCAATAAGAAATAAGATAAATCCATTACTTTTACGTGTCTAACAAATATAAATGGCGATGTTGAAATTAAGAGAAACGTAAGTTTTAGAAATGCTTTACATCATTCAGAACGTAAGCTGTTATGATCCCTGTCCAGATCTGATGCTATCTCAACCAGAGGGCGCAACAGATAGGGTTTTATCCTTCCCCTTTTACCTGAACACGGAAGAAGATTTTGCGTCCGAAACGTTCTATTTTCATTTCTATTTGTAATTTAGACGCTGGACGAAGTCAAAAAAAACATTTTCACGGATTATAACGCACTATCGTCAGAAATCTGCAAACATTATCTATTATCATTCCATCTATTTTCCAAAATAAATTGTCAGTTTCTGTTTACTTGAAAAAATAAGTTATACAGGTTACGAGATGAAAACAAAGTGATCAGAAAAATTTGGACGTAACGAAGTTGAATTATAGGAACAATTTTTGGATATTAAATAGCCTAACTAAAGTCCTCACGACTTACCACCCAGCACTGTTAGGAGATAGTGTTGCTAAGATGGAATAAAGAAAAGTTAATGAAACCTCTTGGAAAAGTATATTTTTTAAGGCAGAGGGGGATGAGATGGGAGGTTAACGTTCAAATCGTTCCACGTGAGATATGCTATCACAATATTAGTTCTCAAACTGAGCGATTTTAAGGATTCTGAGGTCCGTACAGAAAATTGGCTTACATTTTCTTATTCCTAAAGACTATTAAAAGAGAATTAAATAGCTGTCTGATTTAGAATCTGGTACTTGGAGAGTCTTCTACCTGTGTTTCAGACATGTGCAATTTTGTTAGTTGTAAACGAAATTCGTGGCTCTGTTCCCAGCCGACGTGGGTCATCCGTATAACCAGTTGCTGTCTCCACGATTGTCCGACCTATCGCCCGCAAGCCACAACACAGATTCGCCCTCTGCAGGAGGCATCTCGCCCATTGCTTTGGCACCCCCAGCAGCCGCCTTCATGGCCTCGCCAAGCCTGCTCGGTGCTTTTCAACCGTATTCGCCCTTACTGCCTATGATGGCGGACTCAAAAACAAGTAAAAACTTATATCATGCATTGAATTTTCATCATTGCCACGTATATAATTTCATATTTAAAGATTTGGGGCCAACGAAAGTCTGGGAATGCTTAATTATGAAGTCGCGGTCACCCAGTTATTTGTCACTGGAAAGAAGATGTGGATAAATAGCAAATTATTAACCTGCTGGAAAAGAGTCTTTGTCGGAAACTGATTTCTGCTCTACTATTTAAGAAGTTGCCTATCTTCAATTGAACCTGCCGGTTTACAACAACAAGACACTGGACCCTATCTAAATCCTGATGAATCCTGATCACACATTTATCCTCCCATCAAAGCCTAGATGTCTCAAGTTCTCTCTTCTCTCGAGACTTTCCAACTAAAATGTTGTACACATTTCTCATCTCGACCACGCGTGCTACATATCTTGCCCGCTGAGACATTCGTTAACGCTGTTACAGATCCCATACTGACGAGGGCCCTGACCGGGGTTAGTACATGTGGCAATGGAAAGAGACCGCGCGGGGAGAAGAAACCCATCCCAGATGACCAGAAGGATGAGAAATACTACGAAAGGAGAAAGAGGAATAACCAGGCAGCAAAGAAATCGAGAGACGCCAGAAAAATCAGGGAGGACCAGGTAACGTCTTCGGTCTGTTTCTAAAGAGCAAATTTATCAATGCAAATTCTAGAATTACCTACTCGTATACACAAAGGAAATAAACTTATTAATATAAATAATGTGTAATTATCGGTTTTTTATGCTTGAGTGAACTTGGTTTTCACACGAACATAGACCGAAGACGTTCGAGAACAGGAGTCTGTTAGGATATTTGGGCACAACAGACAAAAGTAACAGGATAATAGTGAATATTGCAAAATTACTTCTTCTTGAACTAGTATTAATTAGGCTTATTAGGCTCGTGATTCTTTAGCTGCCTTCCAAGAAGTGGTCTTTAAATCTTCTCTTGGGATGATCTCCCATCATTTTTACGTTTTCGTTACAAAATTACAAAGGATTACATGGGCGAACATTTGACACGTGTGGAAAATTCGTCATAACACCTAAAGGGTACGTAACACTGAGAAAGAAAGCATAGTCATGTTTGGGAAGATAACTTTCAAAATACTTTTTAAGACTTTTCGTCCAATATCTTATCCACAAGACCAGTTTGTATATTTATAATTCGTATTATATATTTTCAGGCCATCAAACGTTTCCTAATAGAATGTAATCATTTTCGCCTAATCTTTTTAAATAATTCGAGATATAATTTTTAACTCTATATGTTCCAAATTCCGATTATAGTTGTTTTTGAAATAGTAATTATTGTGGCAGTATCCCAAACACTTCTGAAATATTGTTTCAGGCAACGTAAAATCATGTCGCTTTTGCTATCTACAAGACAACATGGCGTCACATCCCAGAAAACTTCTTCACTGGCGAGAAAGAGCCAAATCTCAGAACGTAAAATTATGTTCGACTTATTTAGAATTGTGAATAACTAGGGAATAGTCTTTATCGACGTTTCTACTACATAACTAAATCACTGACATAAAACTGCTAAAATATTTTTAAATACAAACATCACACGTTTCAGTCAAATGACAGTGGGCCAAGCTACGTTATTAAGATGGTTAACGGAGTTACACAAATTAGCAGGCCTACTTTCTTTTGTTTTCCGTTTATTCGGTCCGTCAGTGTAAATATTCTAATAATTATGAACGTCTGTTTGTTCGACATTTGGGTGCAGGCCGCCGTGTTGGAACGTAAATTGTAACAGCATCGTATAACACGCGATTTTAAAAGGTCTTCGTCGATTCTTTGGGAAATTAATTACACATATTTATATTCACCGGTCTGTAAGTAATTACTGTAATTATAGCTACCTGGATTGGTCTTTAAACACGTATGTTAATAGCATACAAAGTCGGGAAATTTCTTGATTAGCAGTGTACTTAGTTTCTCAAGTTGGACTCTGCTCCAAGGAGTTAGTTAGTTACTTAGTTAGTTAATTAGTTAGTTAATTAGTTAGTTAATTAGTTAGTTAGTTAGTTAGTTAAGAGCATTCTTGAACGTTCATACTAACTAAAGCTGGTGGTAACACTACACAGAAGATCTCACAATTAATTTATTGTACTGACGTAATTTAGATAAAATTACTTTATGAATTGAAATAGATTTTAATTTTTTTAAAAAATTACTGCAATTAATATTGAACATTAACCAATGCGTGGGTCTATTACTGACAAGAACGCCTTTTAAACAGGATACACCTTTCCAATCTGTTATAAGTTGCTATGTAAATGCAATCGAATAACTACACTTAAATTCTATGGTTTATGGCACATATAACATAAATGGAAGATGATACTCTGATCAATTTCATGATTCGATAATTGTTACAGATCGCCTTTCGGGCAACGATGCTAGAGCATGAGAATGCCTTACTTCGAGCCCAGGTTATAACACTTAAGGAAGAGGCTCAGTCGCTTAGACACTTGCTTCTGCAGGGGAAAACGGAAGAAGCAACTCATCACCAACAACGGCCTACATGATCACCTGTGCTCCTCGAAATACTGTGCACTGCGTACATTAGTGTTGTTATATACATTAACGTGCAATTCATAAGAATTTAGATGGCTGTGAATACCTTGTATATAAAGAACCTAACAGTGTGGCGTAACATTTTTTCTTTTGTACTTCAGTTACAAGTTATCAGAACAAGATGGTGTATTCATAGAATCGAAATGGCTTACCGGGTATATTGACAGGCTGACTAGACTGTGCTTAAAATAAATACTAGCCGAAATTTGATATTGCTGTTGGCAAACACGTAAATAAATTAATTGAATTGAATTCCTTCAATTTAAATCCCATATGACCTGGGGAAATGTGTAATAATTAATAACCAACCAGCCGATATTACAGAAGACATGTAGGCATATATATATATACATATAAAATTTTATGCACAAAAAACCTTTGGCTCAGCTACTCGCTCGAAGTTCTGCTCTCGTATTTTAATATATTTTTTGTTAGTGAAGTTCATATAAGATCACAAATAGAATTTCGTGTGTCATTAATCCTGTCCATTTGTAAGTCTAAGTTCGAGAATCTTAGACGTACAGCATTAAAAATATGATTGTCGAAATAATCTATGAAAAATTTGTCGCTCGCAAAATCGGAAGCCAAAGATATTCCAATCATAATGTCACAAATTAAAGTAATTAATAACAGTCTCTGTGTATATTAATTTAATTAATTTGCATGTTGCCTATTATCGTTTATTTAATCACAATGCCATCTATCAGGATTTATTACTGTTATTTATTTTCCGCAAACACGTTTCGGCTTCGATAAACCTCGCATATTAACAAACTATCTCCTTCAGTTCTAAAATTTCGAGAGAAATGACGATTAACAACAAAACAAGGAAGTTCTTATTAAGAATAAATTTAGGATATATATTTTTAAAATAAATGTTAATGTATATTTAAAAAAGAGTTATCTACTGATTTTAACATTACGAATGATTTAAAAGTCGTAATAAATCTCTGTCAAGATGAACTATATCGGAACACAGGGACACGTTTTGTAATGAACAACTTACAGTGATGTTTCACAATATGTCAGTTTAACTTATTGTTATTATTATAATATGAAACAAAGGTTTCTCATTACTATCTTTGTAACCCTACTTAGCCATTCACATACACAACAAATTTGTGAATGTTCTTGGAATTATGATATTCCTATGAAATTAATAAATACAATTTTGAATTATATTTCAGTTACTTGTGAGGTTTGAAATTCTCACGGCAGCGATTATTAGGAAGACTGTCTTCTGGTGTGTTGCGCCACGTGGCCTCGTAAAGTTGGCCGATGTTTCGGAGGTGCTTACTTCCTATAAACCCTGATTATGGAGGCAGCAAGCACCTGTAAAACGTTAGCCAGCTTCTATTAACCTATACAGCAGAAAATCCCAGAAGACAGGCATCTTAAAGTATTTATCTCGTGTGTTTAATATTCAGAATGGTTGTCGCATTCAACTTGTATTAGATTGCGCCATTAGGAAGGTTTGGAACTGAATTGGAAAGACCAGCTTGTGGTCTATAAAGATAACTTGTAGAGTGAAAACAAATGTACTACGAAAAATTACAAAAGCTCTGGTAAATATTAGGCTAGAGGTTGATCTAGAAATGAATGGGGAGAAAACTAAGTAAATGTAAATGTCAGTATCTCGCCCAGAATGTAAAACAAATTCGTGATATATAAGATAATAGTTCCTTCGAAAATGTGGCAAAGTTAACGTAACGAAACGAAAGTAGGAAATCATAATTGCATTTATCAAGAAATCAAACAATATTAAATTACGACACTGTTTGCTACCTACCTACCAATGAGTTCAGAATTTACAAGGTTTCGTCTCGTATTTACAACTGATTGGATAAAGGTAATTTTGAAGACCTAAGTACAGATAGGAGGATGTTATTTAAATAGATATTAAATGCATACGATATGAAGGTGTGTATTGTTTTAATCAGGTTATAGTGGGGTTAGTGACTTGCTCTCGTGAACACTAATGTATCTCCTGGTTCTAGACAGATGACTTGATCAGCTATTAGGTTCCAAATAAAGCCTCTGTTTCTTACAGTTAAACAGATATTTTTATATCGTTGTCTCCTCTCCTAATCGATGTCTGATTTTCTTAAAGCTTTAACTTCTGAAACTGATAATCGTCTAGATAACTTTACAGTTATCCAGCTATTTTCACAGAGCGGTTTTTGCACTGATTTAAAAGTTCGCATTTATTCGAAATACTGCTGTAATCGATTGAAAATATTTAACACTGTTAATAAGGATAATACACCATCTTTTTCTGCCTATAGAAGTGTGTATTTTATTCAAAAATGCAAATGGATTTTTCTATCTTAATAATTACTCTCTAAAAATTATATTCCAATCCGTCCGTTGTAAAAATTATCTTAATAAAATAGTGTGATTTACTTACATAATACACTGATTAATTATGTAACGCCTTTCTAACTATTATGTTTGAAGCACTGCTAATGGCTCCTTGAGTCCTTTGTAGCTGCCGGTGGATGTCATTTTTTTTTTATAATTGTTCCAATTTTCACTCCATATTTCACACATATTAAAACGTTATATTCTTTACACTAATTAATGAGCAGGTTAGTATAGCGATATCCCTCCAAACTTGTGTTAGTGTTTGAATCTCAATTTGATTACCCGCTACTGATTTAAAATAAATCAGTAAACAATTTTAGTGCTTTATGTGATTTAAAGTTCTCATGGCAGTGCAGAAGTATTCTTGGTTGTAACAACGTGTCGACGTTTAGGTACCCCAGGGTATTTTCCTCTGAAATATTGGTTTCTACCCACAAGTGCACAATGCGTTACAACCCAGACGACGAACATCGACTTTCCAATGCTTACTTTTTATTATTACTAACATGGCTCGTTCTTATCAGGACTGTGTTTTTCTCTCGCATTCGTTGGGAGTTTTGTGTTTTATAGATACCCATAACTTTCACTCAGGATATTAATTTTTCATATTTATCCAGATAAGCCCACAGATGGATTTTGGCCCTAAGTAACAAAATCCTTAAAATTTGATAAAGTAAATTAAATTTGTGCACAGAATAACACCCATATATGTAAGTGCAAAAGAAGAGCTTCATATCAAATTTCTTAAAAAAATTGTCAAGGAACTACAAAAATACAAGCAAACTTTCACTGACACACTTAAATCTGACCCTGTTGTCATATGTGATTTAACTCCTATATGACTATTAGTACAATATAAAACTTGTACGTTAGATTTCAAACAAGTCTTCCAAAGGACCCAAAAGACCTGCTTTAAAATTCATTTAGGTTCCTAAATAGAAACTTACCACCTGATATCAGCTTCTTGGGAAGGACTTTGACCAATGGAGTGTTATTATTCTACCTGAGCGTAGTTTTTTAACATCTCTGGTATGTATTTTTGTTACGTTCAAGAAGTTAATCTGTTTATTTGCACTTCTTTAAGAACTCTGAATTACACGGTATGTCTTAACACAAAAATTACTGTATCCGTAACATGACGTATGTTAGCTTTGAATGGTAGGTATGTAGACGTAATATGCACATCAAAGGAGAAAGAAGGTCTCTGTGAATAATCGTTTTCAAACAGAAACTGTTGTGGAAGCCCACCGTTCCTTTTCATAGCCGTCAGACTAACGAGCTTATAATGAATTATAAACGACTCATTTCTCTAATTACGGTAATTATATGTATCTGCAAGTGAATTAGAGGTTTGCATACTCGGAGAAGCACACTATCTTTATGCTAGAACAATATTATAAAGAACAAAGCTAAGACATGACAATTACGAAAAGGAAGAAAAATAGAAATTTGCCTTTTTCACTGAGTAACTGTTCAAAAAGAAAAGTCGATACTTCGTTCTCATTACGTTATGCAAATATCAGACTCGAGATAACTACATGCTCAATACTGTAGATTTCTAGAGTGAATTTTAGAGTGTTTAAAAAAGGCAATTACTTGGTCTAATAGTAAATGCAGAAAACATTAAGTGTGAGTTTTTGTCATTAGAATACAGGATAAAATCACAGCAGAATCGAAATAAGGATAGTTATTAGATCCTATGAAAAATGTACATAGTTCAGACATTTGCAGCAAAAACAGGAAATCAAAATCAGCATTCACGGAAATGTTAAGAGGAGATTAAATTAGCAAAACGCTATACGTCATTCAGTTCAGGACAATTTAACTTTCAATCTTCTAACTAAAAATGTACAGAATGTAATATAAAACACATAATATGTACATTGATTTGCCATATACTATCTTATTTTTGTTCCAGTGAAGCCTGTGACCCCCGCGTATTATACCCATCACGTAATTAGTTATTAAGATGATACATTGTAATTTAATAACAACTGTGGATATGCTCATGTTTTAACTACAAGAAAGAAGTAACAACTGAATAAAAAGTCAAAGATTCTACATAGTGGCCTGTAAGTCGTAAAATATTTTATAAAATATTATAAATGGTTCCAATAATATTGCATCATAATTTTCAGTCATTATTCTTCTCAGCCCTATGTAACATCAAAGAGACGAGCGAAAATGGAGAATGGTACATATTCATTCACGATTAAGCAATGTTGGATATTCTTCAATCGTGTGAAAACGACATTTTTATAGTCGCTTTGTTCTTATTATACTAATTTTATTACCGAAATTTTCTTATTTAACAATAACTAACAAGACGTAACATGTGTTTAACGTTTACTGAGTAGGCCTACTTAGTTAGATATGATTATGTGACAAAACAGAAGAACATGAAGGAGCACCGGGTAAGTCTCTATGAATTATTATCCTGCACACTAATTTTAGTGGTCAGTTTCATGCTCCGGCCGATTAATCCCCAACTCTCGCCCTCTCCTTGCCTCCAGTACCCATTGGATAGGGGATTGGGTCAGACGAAAACAACAAAATTCTGACCGTATCAGGAACTGAACCTCAACCATCCCACTCGGCAGCAATCATAACCAAATAAGGATCACAAATACTCGACGGGATACAGAAACAATATTTAGTTCTTTACGTGAAGTGGCCCTTTCAATGAGGTAACTAGACGAAAGTCGAAATGGAGAATTGAAACTGAGAAAAGTGTCTAAAATCGAGATTGATTGGAATTTGTCAGCTCATTTGAACACTCATTCTAGCAAATAGACGGACACGTAACATGACGGAACAACATAAGTTTTTTAGTCATACTTTTCTAATGTGCCCAAAATTTCTTTCAAAGTTATTTCGTTGCTTGTACGCAAAAACTGGTTGCACTTGACAACAGGTTACGCTGATGACGTGAACTTAATACCTTATGCATTGCTGTGCAAGCCTTCTTCGTTCAAACAGTCAAATTTTCCGTAATTTATGGAACCCCGTAGCCTGACATTAGATCCTGTCCTAAGCCTAATAAATCCAATCCATGCTCTTACACCCAATTACTCAGAGATTAATTTTAATGTCATGTTATCATCCCATACACGCCAGTGTTTTACAAGTGTAC